ATGTTGGATTCAATTGTGATGGATATAATCCCTCACCAGTTTTAATATACGTGTAACATTAACGGTCTCTGCTGTAGCAACTATCCTCAGAAAAGTCGGTCACGTGGTTTTTTGTGGCGCAAACCAATCATATTTCAAGATACCGTGTAACGTAACACGAACAGAAAAATTCAAGTTCGATTTTACTATCTATCTTGTTAACATTTAACCTCAATACAAATGCTAACCCTAACTTAAACGAGCTTGAAGATTTTTGGAACGTCGCAAATACGGTTACGTGTCCGTACTTTTTTTGAAGGTGATACTGGGGAAGATTCCGGGGGCACAGAGGTCACAGGCATGCCAATAGTGACTCAAATATATTTCGGAATATTCTATATTCTGAGAATATATAAATCGCGAGAAAGGCTCTGAAAGGAGATCTATATAATATGTGATAACTGACCAATCTAAATTGAGTATATCTATCATGTAGCATAATGGCGTACCAGGGTGGCATCTTGGCCATGGCATGCCAAATTTTTTTGTCATGCCATTTTCTCTACTTCGGAAGCATGGCCAAATTTTTTTCTGTGCCCCAACCCTACTTCTGAAACCTTTAACCCTAGTAGGTTCTAAGGAACTGGAGTGTAGTGACAGACCAATTATTTTCAATGAAATAAAATATTGATATCAAGTGTGATTTTAATCGGGGTAAAAAAATGGCATTCTTAAAAACTTTAGAAGTTTTTAAGTTTTATTAATCATTTCTGAGGATGAACAAGCTCAATTAGATATCGTGGTTCAAGCGGTAAGCAATTCGAAGTACACATTGTAGCCGATAATAAATTTAACAATGCCCAACTTACTTGATATTTTTTGGACTATTACAGTGACCCTTGGCGAAATGTTCATTGTTAACTTTTCGGGATAATCATTGTTTTAGTGTTACGTACGTACATACTAATCTTTATGTTTATCATTTCCTTATTTTTTGATGTACTTATCATAAAACATTATCAGTCCATAATAGTGCGTGCTAATGTTTTTCGAACTTACGTAGTACGTGTAATATAAGAAGGCAAACAAAACTTGCACTATAACTACCATATTAATAAATAACCGCGTATGGTGCAGAAAATCCAAAAAGCTCAATATTTCTGTATAGAGGTAATGCATAAACTATCGCATTGAAAATAAATTTCTTAATCTATTAATTTCAATAAAATGAAGGGTCAATCTCACCGAATAAAAATAATACGCCGAAATCTCGCTGAATAATAATAATACGTCAAGAACAATATGTATTTAATCGTGAAACTTAAAATAAACCGCTGCATCAATGAGTTATTCTATATAAAGTGATTGAGGTTTTTAGATTTCCTACACCGTACGTACGTACTCACGTACATAGCTGATATGCTTAGTTCGTGTAAGATAGGACGAATACTTGTAGGGAATGTAGCGTAAACATTTATTTCATGTGATAAAGTACGCTGACGCTGTAGCTCAAATTTTGTAAAACAAAATTTATTTTATTATCGTTATTGAAATATCTAAAAAAGTAAATGCTAACTATTTTGCGTGGAGTTCTTGAACCGATAATATCTAAAAAAAATTATTATAACACAGAAACCTAAACAGTATGTAAATGTTTACAATAATAAAAACTTTATTATAATTCTTTATTTTGTAGTTGGAACATATAAAAGCTCCTTGTATTTTAATGCTCACTGAATTTTTTGTTTTTTAACTTTGAGTTTACATTCAGATAATAAAAGTTGCGATTATGCTTATTGGGGTTATATATTCATTTGGTTCTGACCCAGATCCTATCATCAATTGTCTTAAAAGTGACCACGGATTTAAGGATTTAAACGGTGTAAAAAGCGATAAAAGCGATGAAAACAATGTGAAAAGCGATAAAAGCGATGAAAACAATGTAAAAAGCGATAAAAGCGATGAAAACAATATTAGCGAAATTAGCAATGCCCTCTTAGGAGAGGTCAAAAAGCAATACACCGAGAATTATGTGATAATGATCAGAAAGAATAATAATGAGATATTAGCCAAGAAGAATCATACGAATTGTATGGATAATTATGAGACTTTTGAAGAATTAAAGGAATATAGGTAATTCTTATATGTAACCTTTTAAATATGACAAGTTATAAGGGTATAAATTTAATGATGTGTCTTAATAGAAAAAGCACTCTCTTTTTATTATTGGCCGTTGATAATAAATTGGCGAATAAATACGAAAACTGGTTAATAAAAAATGAGTGAGTATTTATTTTGAAGTATTAATATCTGTTAATGAACCTATTTAAATAATTATTAATGAAATAGAGCAAAGAGTAAAAAAGATTCTGAGAATTTTAAACAGTTTATGAAAAAAAATGATGATTGGTGGAATAATGATAAAAACCATAAAATAATGTCCATTGCTGATCATATTGTGAAATCAGAAAAAGAGCTTGATAATATAATGAACAAGTACTGTGTTAAGAAAGAAACAGAAAATGTGAGTCAATAGAAAACCAAATTTTTCTAAGTAAAAAGTTTTCTCAACTTTAAACTTAACTATCTTGATAACTGTCTAATCAAATTTTTTACTAAAAATGATGTCCCTTTTCTATTGACTTACTCTCATATATAGATATTGTTACCATTGCGACCAACGAAAAAGGCTTATTTTATGTATTTAGCAGAATTGACAGCATCAAGAACAAATTGTATGAGCCGTAAAGTTGGATGTGTATTAGTTAAAAACGGTTATAGGGTAATTGCAACTGGATATAATGGAACACCCACAGGTATTAAACATTGTATTGAAGGCAATTGTAAAAGTTGTAGTGGTGAAAATAAGGAGTATTGTAAATGTATACACGCTGAAGAAAATGCGTTAATGATAGCTGGAATGGAAGCAGAGGGTTGTACTCTTTATTGTACTACGTAAGTATATGTCAAATATAAATGAAATTTATATACTGTATATCAGATATATAATTTATTTCATTTTATTTTTTAGATCACCGTGTCTTAGTATGTAATACGTATGTTTTAATGATTTTATTATTTCTTTTTAAGTCATACTGAGCTTGTTGCATATTTAAAAATTTTAAGACTGCGCAAAAAAATTAATTCAAGCAAAGGTCAAAAAAGTTATCTATAGCGAGTAAGAATGAATATTAAAATGTCTATGTGTTGTTTCATTTAATTATCTATTCAAGTACTTATATAATTATTTGTATTATATGAATTTCAAAGCCGCTATAAAGATTTGGATGAGGTCAAAGAATTATTTAAAGAAGCTGATGAAATTAAAAAAGAGGCTAAACGCAAAATTGATGAAGCTGATGAAGTTAAAAAAGAGGCTAAACGCAAAATTGATGAAGCTGATGAAGCTAAAAAAGAGGCTAAACGCAAAATTGATGAAGCTGATAAAGCTAAAAAAGAGGCTAAACGCAAAATTGATAAAGCTGATGAAGCTGATGAAACTAAAAAAGAGGCTAAACGCAAAATTGATGAAGCTGATGAAACTAAAAAAAAGGCTAAATGCGAAATTAATGAAGCTGATAAAGCTAAAAAAGAGGCTAAACGCGAAATTGATGAAGCTGATAAAGCTAAAAAAGAGGCTAAACGCAAAATTAAAGAAAAAAAAGTTGAAGACAATACATTAGAACGTCTAGAAGCTAATTTACTACCTCCAAAAAAATTTATGCTATATCCTTTAAATTTGTAATCTATATAATTATACTAGCAAGTCGTACGTGCTTTTCTACGTGTGGATTTATATGTCACTCATGAATAATTTATCTAATCTAAAATATCGAAAACTCACACACGCCATTTATATCTAAAGAGTTTTTCTTAAATTAGGTTTTTTATTTAAGCGTTTATAAAAATATGAACTTATTCTGTGTTTTCAGATATAATTTATATTTTTGACAAATTTGTATTCAGAATTAAATTTTATTTCAAACATGGATATTATAAATTATGAATGGATATAATATCATTATAAATATATATATGTGACTCCAAGGGAAAACAGACGTCGAGCTTTCAGATTTTTTGCCGGACTCAGGCAAAAAATTTTCGATCTTATCATATCGCCTTCAAAAAAGTACGGACATGTGACCGTATTTGTGGTGTTCCATAAAATCTTCACCTTGTTTAAGTTAGGATTAGCGTTTGTATTGAGGCTAAATGTTGGTAAAATAGTAAAATCGCACAAGGAAAACTTTTTGTTAAGGCACCAAAGATGCTTTCCTATGCTGATTTTTGAGTTACAAACGTTTGTTTTGAATTTTTCTAATCGTGTTCCATTACACCTGATCTTGAAGTATGATTGGTTTGCGCCACAAAATATCACGTGTCCATATTTGTTCGAAAACCAAGAAAAATATTTTCGCAAGAAAAAACATTTTCGCTATAGGTGAAATCCGCGTTTAGCTACATAGGCAGAAGTTCGTCTGATTGGCTAATAAATTCAATTTAATTTTACATTATTTATACAATTTAGAGTACTTTTAAAAAAACGAAAACTAAACATAATGAAATGAAAAAAGCTGTATAGAAGTTTTCATTAGAGTTGTAGAACTCCATAGCTAAAAATAATAATTTATTCTCGTCCACTTGAAAAAGTTAGCTTAGTAATAACTTGATTTTATTGGCTTTTGAGAAGTCATTACTATACTAACTTTTTTAAATAGAAGAGAATAAATTATTATTTTTGGCTATGAAGTCCTACAACTCCAATGAAAACTTCTATACAGCTTTTTTCATTTCATTATGTTTAGTTTTTGTTTTTTTAAAAAGTACTCTAAACTGTATAAATAATGTAAAATTAAATTGAATTTATTAGCCAATCAGACGAACTTCTGCCTATGTCATTTAGCTTATTTCTTGACCTTTTTTCACGTTACACCCAATCTCGAAATTTGATTGGCCAGCTAAATTTTTTAGACTGTGTTCAATAATAAATTCAAAGCCCGAAGTCTTGACATTTTAATTAGACGTTTGACACTTGCTCATGAATGATATCGTGAACAAAAGACATTAAATCCAGAAACAATGAGATGAAAAAGAATATTCTGAGAAACATCATGATTTTGGAAAAAATGTAGATGGTGATATAAATGATAAAGAGTTTTATTGTCAAAAGTAGATTTATCACACCTATTACAATTAAAATGATAAATCATGTATATTTACATTCCAATTTTTTTTCTATTAATTTTTAAAAAGTTTCTGTTGGTTTTGTTAACTTTATTTTTTAAAAATTAGGTTATATAATTTTAAATGAAAAATTCTTTATTAAGAAAAAGAAACCAAGTACTTTGGCAAGGATATAAATAGCTTCAAATTTAGAATGTGAATTAATCAAAGAACTTAACAAGTAGGTTTGCATTGATACGTTTACAATGTATATATTTTAATTTCAAAAATACATTTTCTACGATATAGAATAGAAGCTGCATTTAAAAAAGTTAATTTTGATATAATTTTTTTTTTAATATTTAAGGTAAGTATGAGTATTATGATGCAGTACCTATTATGGCGCAGTTGTGATATCTCATGATCCAGTGATCAGAATCGGATAATTTTTATACCATTAAATTTATCTCATATAGACGAATCGAACGGTACAAAAATTATCTGATTATAATCACTGGAATATGAAATATCTTCATTTAAATAAAGAATCCAAATTTATAATTTAGTCTTTTTATAAAAAATCAATAAAATTGAGTTTTTTATTAACAAACAAAGAGCTTTTTTTTTTTTTTTTTTTTGGTGTTTATAATAAAAATTATAATAAAAACATATAAATTTACTATAAACTTTGAGCTAAAGATCCTTTTCAACTTAACTAAATAACTTAAAAATAAATTTTGTAATTATATATAACAAAAAAAGAAAAAAAAATTTAGCCTAAAAACTAAATTAAAATTTTGTTAATTTTGTCTATTTTGAAAATGTAACTTTTTCAAAAATAATTATTTTTTAATTTTAAAATAATTATTATATATAAAATTATATACTGAACAACTTTATTTAGAAGACAAAAATAGGTTACCTTAGTATAAAAATAAGTTAACTATGTGCTAAAGGTAAATATTTTTGTTTATCTATATAAAACTTTTTTTTTTATTAAGATAACCTATTTTGACTTTTTAAGTAAACTTGTTTAACATAAAATTATATATATATTTTTTTTAAAAATGCATTTTCTTGAACCTTTTATTAAATAAAAAATGAGATCAAAATTTAAAAAAAAATTTTAATTTTTTTTCTATATTTAATCTTATTTTTTACTTAAAGAAATCAAAATAGGTTATCTTAATAAAAAAGAAAGTTTTATATAGATAAACAAAAACATTTATCTTTAGCACATAGTTAACTTATTTTTATACTAAAGTAACCTATTTTTGTCTTCTAAATAAAGTTGTTTAGTGCACAATTTTACATATAATAATTATTTTAAAATTAAAAAATAATTATTTTTGAAGAAGTTATATTTTTAAAAATAGACAAAATTAACAAAATTTTAATTTAGTTTTTAGGCTTAGTGATTGAATCTGTCCAAAAAATCATGACTCAGATGACCTGTCAGGTGAACTTGTAGGTCACCCAAGTTGATCAATAGGGCTATCTAGGTTACAGATACACTAGTTTACCTAGGTGTGTTAATCGATAGGCATATGATTGATCAATCAAAACATGATATATGAATACTAGTTGGATATTGTTATCTTTATTTAGAAATATATATTTTAAAATTGCTTCTAATAAAGCTTTTTTTTAAGAATTTGTAAATATGGCTTTATATAATTTGCAATGTCTTTATTAGATATTTAGAATAACAGATAAGAGATAAAAAATTTTTCAGAGTAATTTTTAAATAAATTACATAATTTATTATTATATATATTAAGCCCAAACACTATAGTAAATACTATTTCATTTAACAAATAGTAATTATTTCAGATAACAAATAGTTTCCTTTAGAGATAATATGATTTTCTGTATTTAAAAAAAGACATTCACTTGGAATGAAGGTAGCAAAAATAGACAAATATTTATATGCAATTCTACTAAAAATAGAAAAGAAAGACTATTTAGTATATCATTATTTATAAATATTAGCTTCTTGAAGTAAAATTGGTAAGATCGATTCATTTAGATAATTGTCAATTTTGATTTTATAATTAACTTATTTTTGACCTTAACTAAAAACTTTTTTTATAAAAAAAAGAATTAAGGAGAAAGATGCTTTAACATATTTAACTGTTTTACCAATTATAAATATACTTTGTCAGGTTTTAAATTTAGTATATAATATTTTAATTATGTCATTTTATGTTACCCCTGACCATGCTATCATTTGTTTTAAGCATAGATCTAATAAGGTAGCAAACAACCTGATATTCTCTGGATCTTCTCAATAATAGTGAAAAGAGTTATAGATTGCTATTTTGATATTTGTGACTATTTGTTCATTTGAAGATGTTTCTTAAAACATGTGCATAGTTGATTGTTAAAATATTTCATCCTCAGATAAGCTATTACTATAATTGTTATCTAAGAATATTTCATCTAAAATTAAAAAATTTATTTATTTAGGATATGGGTCTCATAGCTTAGCAGTTAAGCTCCTATACTCTCTACAGTCAAGGTCAACAGTTCAAGTCTGGCTGAAGGCAAAATTAAAAGATTTTAGCTTCTGTAACCTAATAAGGAGCCTGTAATTGAACACAAAGCCCTGTGATTAAAAGTCCAAGTGCAGTACAATAATGAAAGTAGAAATTCTCAGAAGAAGACCCAATCATGAAGTGGAGGCACTATGCATAACAAGCAGTTGTTACAAAAGATTATGGTTATAGAAAGATTGTGCATATAAGTTCTTTAGGCTAGGGCAACACTAATATCCTTATACCTCCTAATATAGGCAGTATCAACATCCTTGCATTCAACTTGTAGAGTACTTGCTTGGAAGGATAATTAACAGATTGTGCAAATAAGTCTTAATTGGAATCCAAGAAAAGAATTTAATTGGAAGAGTAATCTGAAAAATAACCAAGACTAAAATAGTAAGAGAAGTGATGAACACAAGGATGAACTGTAATAAAGGATTGGTCTAACTAAAAATTGAAAGCACCTCTGGTACAGCTGAATAATCTAATTATAGAAGAGAAGATCTTGGAGGTAGGTATATAACTTTCTTGTATAATGTAAAAGTACTAAATCAGATTCTGGTCGTACCTATATGGAAGTCTATGATAAACAAGACTAGAAATCAACTAACCAATATAAGATAAGATCTGCAAGATAGTATAGCATCACTGAGGTCAGTGTAATTCTCTGAACATAACCAGAATTGTCCTGCAGATATTGTTGAATAAGCTGAAAGCTTGCAATACATAGTAATATAGTATCATTAGGGTTGGAGGAACTCTCTAGGTATAACCAGAATTGTTCTATTTGTAAATGCAATAAGTTCCAGTCTCTATCATAAAAGGAAGCACTATGTTGAAGGTTAAATGTAGCATTAAGTTACTGTATGACATTAAAACCTAGGGCATCTGCAGAAACAGCAGCAGCAGGTTTGGCTTGAGATACGGATTGGTCAAAAAGACCAATGGCAGCAGCAAATCTGACTTGAGATATGGGTTTATTGTAGATCTTGGACCATTATCAAAACATCTTAGGAAAATCAATAATAGACAAACCAAAGAT